CTGGGCTTTTCTTTTTTGGGAGGCTTTCTATTACTATGTTCATATTCTTGTTTGTTATTGGCCTCTTTAGGTTTTCCATATTCTTGTATGTGCTGGAAACCGGTCCATTTCTTCCATATTTTCCCATTTGTTAGCATATATTTTTTGGAAATAATTTCTAATGATTCTTTGTCTGTAGTGTCAATGGTAACATCTCCTTTCTCATAATTTTATTAATTTGGATTTGGTGCATCTTTAGGTTAGTTTGGGTATTTATCAATCTTTACAAAGGGCCAACTCTTCCATTGATCCTTTGTATTCTCTATTTCATCAATTTTTGCTCTATATTTCTTTCCTTCTACTGGTTTTGGGATTGGTTTATTCTCATTTTTCTAAGATCTTGGGATGCATCAAGTTACTTACTTAAGCTCTTTGTGATTTTTTTTTTTAATGTGGGCACTCATGATTTCCCTTCTAGAACTGCCTATGCTTTATCCCATAGATTCTGATATGTTGTTTCTATTCTCAACTTGATTCTAAGAATTTTTAAATTTTTTACTAGATTTTTTTCAATCACCCACTCATTATTGAAAAGTGTACTGTTTGGTTTGCATGTGTTTTTATGATTTCTGTACTTTTTCTTGATTTTGATTTTGAATATCATTCCATTATTATATAACCTGATAAGATACAAGGAATTCATTTTTTTTTCTTGCCAAGACTTGCCTTTTGGCCTAATATAAGATTTCTTTCGGAGAAAGTTCCATGAGCAGCTGAAGAGAAACTATATTCTCCTGTTAGATGAAATATTTTGTACATGTCTGTTGAGTCCATTTGATTTAAAGTATAATTTAACTCTGTAGTATCATTATAGATTTTCTGTGTGGATGGTACATTGAGATCATTCCTTTTATTAGGGCCTATCTGTCCTTTTGAGTAGTTTTATGAAATTGGATGCACTGAGATTTTGGGGATACTAATACTTAGAATTTTAATCTTTTTGTTCAGTTGTTCCCTTTACTAATAACACATAATGAACTTCTTTGTCTCTTCTGACTAATTTGACTCAGTATATGCTTTGTTAGATATAAGAATAGTTACTTCTGCTAGATTTTGGATTCCATTTGCATGGACTATCATTTCCTATTTTTGAACTTCAGTTGGTGAATATTTTTACTGGTAAGGTATATTTCTTGCACATAACAAAATTAGGTCTTATTTTTAAATCCTGCCTGCTAGTTTGTTTCTTTGTTGGAAAATTAAGATCATTTACATTTAGGTGGTTGCAGAGAGAGATGCATTTACTTTCCCTTATTTTATTTCTAATGTTTGTTTCATTCCTAGTTCTTATTTGATTGTCCATTCTTTTAATGAGCTTTATTCTTTCCCAGGCTCTCTTGTTGGTTTCTTCAGCGTGTAAGATTTCTTTAAGTATCTTCTGCTGTACTGTCTTAGTGGTCATGAATTCCTTCAGTTTATGCTTATCTTGGAAGGTTTTTCTTATTTGATTTTGAAGAATACCTTTGCTGAATATCATTGTGTAAGCTGACAGTTATTTTCTGTTATTTTGAGTCTTAAAATACATCATCACTTGCCCTCTTGGTCTTTAGAGTTTCTGCTAAGAAATCTATAGGCATTCAGATTGGTTTGCCTTTATAAGTGACTTGGTGCTTCTACAATTTTAAAACTTATTTCTTTGGCCTGAATTTTTGGCATTTTAGCTATAATATATCGTGAAGAGGTCCTTTTCAACTCATGTCTATTTGCAGTTCTAAATGTCTGCAGTACTTGCGTGTCCACCTCATTCCTAAGATTAGGGAAACTTTCTGCCATTATTTCACTGAATTAGTTCTCTGTCATTATTCTGTATTTTCACCCCTTCCTCCAGACCTATGAGTCTTAAATTTGGTCTTTAAATGTCTCAGAGCTCTTGCATTTTCTGTTTCTAGTTGTTTCTTCTTCTCCTCTTCCCCTTTCTGTTTTTCTCCCTCTCCTCCTCCCCCCTTCCTCCTCTTCCTTCCCCCTTCCTCCTTTTCCTCCTCCCTTCCTCCTTTTTCTCCCCCCACCCTTCCTCCTCCTTCATCTCCTTTTTCATTCTTGTTAATGGGAATTTAACCCAGGGACAGTTTATCATCGAGTTACATCCCCATCCTTTTTGTTTTGTTTTTGTTTTTCATTTTTTATTTTGAGATAGGCTCTCACTAAATTGCTTAGGGACTTGCTGACTTCCTAAGGCTGGCTTTGATCTTGTGATCCTCCTGTTTCAAACTTCTGAGTTGTTGGGATTATGGGCTCTGTGCCCAGTTCATTGATCATTTTTATCACCATTAAAAAAAATCTTTGGCATTTGCTTCACTTCAGTATTTTGGGTTTAGTTATTGGAGAGTTTTTGAACTTTTAAGGCATTTTATTACCTTGTGTTCTCATGTTATCTGTGTTTCTATTTTGAAACTTGCTTTTTTGAGGAGGGATACACACACACACATACACATATGTATATATAATATATATATAAATTTACCTTATAATACATGTGCTATAAAATAATTAAAAATCATACAGAATAAATATAAAAATCTACTATTGTTACATCAGTGTAGTTTTAGCGAGATGCATTTTCATAAAGACTGGAAATAAGGTTTAGCATTAAATGAAAACATGTGCTTTAGAGCATTTTATTTTTGCGAAAGATTCAGTTTTATACCAACCAACACTTGTATTCCTTATATTATCAATAGGAAAAAGTTTAAAAGGAAACTCATTCTTGGTGATAGAAAAAATATTTTCCCCCTGATTTTCGAGAAAATTAAATGTTTTTCAAAGTTCTAAAAAAAAATGTTTTCCTCATTTCCTCCCTTCCTGCTTCCTCTGTCTTCTAGACATCATATTTCTAACAACTTGTCTTGTATTTGATCTTTTCATTGTTAATGAAAATTATAAACTGGGGTAAAATATAAATCGGGAAGGAGGAACTCATGTGATAGTTTTAAAAAGTATGAACAATCTAGCAACAGCTCTGGAGGGCTAACTTACCTGTGTTTGAATCCTTGCTCCTCCTTTTCCTGGCTCTGACATTTGCAAATTACTTAAATACTCTGTGTTAGTCTCATCTGTAAATGGGGTAACACTACCTTTCTTACATATGCTTGGAAGAATTTAATGATTTTTAGACAGTCTGAGATAGTGTTCCATATAGTAAACAGTGTTAAATATTAAATTTTATTAGTAGTTTTCAGAACTTAGTGCCTGCACAAAGAATACATTTATTGTCTCCCCTGCCCACTTTGGCAGTAAGTTTTTTGAGCTCTTTATATATCATGAGGATTAATGCTCTGAGGTTTATGTGGCTTTGGATTTTCTTCCATTCTGTAGGCTCGCTCTTCATGCTCTTGTTTCCTTTGCTGTGAAGAAGTTTTTTAGTTTGATATCATCCCATTTATTCTTGATTTTACTACTTGTGCTTTAGGAGTCTTATTGAAGAATTCGGTTCCTAAGCCAACATGATGGAGTGTTGGGCCTATATGTTTTTCCTAGTAGATGAAAGTTGTCTGGTCTAATGTCTAACTAGGTCTTTGATCCAGTTTAAGTTTTGTGCAGGGTGAGAGAGGGGGGGTTATATTTCATTCTGCTACATATGGCTTTCCAGTTTTCCTAGCAGCATTTGTTGAAGAGGCTGTCTTTTCTCCAAAGTGTGTTTATGGCACCTTTGTCTAGTATGAGATAACTGTATTTATGTGGGTTTGTCTCTGTGTCTTCTGTTTTGTTCCATTGGCCTTCAGGTCTATTTTGGTACCAGTACCATGCTATTTTTCTTATTATAGTTCTGTAGTATAATTTAAGGTCTGGTTAATTAATAAATGGTCAAAGGAACTGAACAGAACTTCACAGAAGAAGAAATACCAGTGATCAACAAATATATGAAAAAATGTTCGACATCTCTAGCAATTAGAGAAGTAGAAATTAAAACTACACTGAAATTTTATCTCACTCCATTTGAAATAGTGACAATCAAGAATACAAATAACAATAAATGTTGGCAGGATGTAGAGAAAAGGGTACACTCTCATACATTGCTGGACTGCAAATTGTTGCAACTACTGTGGAAAGCAGTATGGAGATTCCTTAGAAAACTTAGAGTGGAACTACTGTTTGACCTAGCTACCCTACACCTCAGTATATACACACAGGACTTAAAGTCAGCATGCTATAGTGATGAACCTGCATCAATGTTTATAGCAGCTCAATTCACAATAGCTAAGCTATGGAACCAACTTAGGTGCCCTACAATAGATGGATGGATAAATAAAATGTGGTAAGTATACTCAATGAAATATTATTGTGCCACTAAAAAGAATGACTTTATGGCATTTGCTGGAAAATGGGATGGATCTGAAGACTTTTATACTAAGCGAAATAAGCCAATCCCCCAGAGCCAAAGGTTGAAGGTTCTTATATGTGGATACTAACACACAACCAGGAGGGGAAGGGGAAGAATAGAAGTTCAGAGGATTAGACAAAGGGGAATGAAGGAAAGGGAGGGTGGACAGGAAATAGGAGAGACAGTGGAGTAATCTGACTTAACTTTCCTATGCACATGCATAAATACACAGTGAATCTCTGTCATGTACAACCATAAGACTGGGATCCTAATTAGAATAAGATGCAGTCCATGTTTGTATAACTATGTCAAATTATACTGTACTGTTATATATAACTAAAAAGAACAAAAATACATTTAATGTTTATTACTTAAAAAGGAAGTTTTCTTATAGACTTGTGAATTAACTTATCAATTTAGTGATTATTGTTGTAATACTGATGTTTTAAAACAACTTTAAATTTTATTGGCAGCTAGGCTACTGTTCTCCTTTTAAGTTTAAATTTTCTTTCTTGTGCCAAAATAAAAAAGGAGCAAGGTTAGTACTTCCTGTTTTTGCACAGGAGTGTATGTTCTCTTTTGGGATAATGGTTAATACACTTTTAGTTGTCTGACGATCGCATTTGCACTCCTTTCTCTGCAGGCCTTGTGTAGAATCACTCGCCAGTCTCCTACTGCTTTCCAGAATGTTATTGAGAAGGTGGGACTAAACTCCATAATAAATTCCCTGGCCTCTGCCATCTGCAAAGTTCAGCAGTACCTGTTGACCTTATTCACTGCCATGTTGTCCTGTGGGATTCATCTTCAAAGACTAATCCAAGAAAAGGTTTGAATTGACTTCAATTTCATCCATTATTCTACTTTTAAAAGTTGTTTTCTTATATAGTTTTATTAGTTCAACAGATAATGTCATCTCTGTAGAGTTTATTTTTCATCCCAGGAGATCTTTTTGAATTTTCTAGACCTTTGTACCATAGAGCATTCCTTTGAAGACATTATAAGAACATCTTAGTGATTAAAATAGAAATATAATAAATGAATTCTGCCTGCTTGTCCCATTTTAGTAATGAAAAATGAGAAAATTCGAGTCGTTCCTATATGTTGGCATTTATTATGTCTTATCCACCTCAGCCCTATTTTTACCATGTCCTTTTCCTGCTTTGGGAGGGATCCCTTCACATTCTCTGCTTACTCTGACCCATTTTTATTCCTTTCTTGTCTGATACTCTGCCAAACCAAATCACTTTTGGAGCCCCCTTTCTCAGTTTTAGTCTCTCCCTATTCCTTTGATGTTGTATTATCTATAGTATAATTTGTAAGTATTACATTCCTTTTTAAAGTCAGTTAAATCAACCATATTTATTTTTCTATAGGGTCTCCATCACATAAGTTTATTTTGAACAACAAAGACGTTCCAAATCCAGTAACTGCTGGACATTCAGTGTTAAGTTGCTACCACTTTAAGTGAAGCCATGCCACTTGCCCATTAGCCAATCCTATGAAAGCCCTCCAAATTTAAAGAGAAATGTGAAACAATAAACGAATCTACATTACCTAATACATAATATGTAGCAGATATGATGCCAACCCACGCTTCTCATATCTCCTTTCTCATATTCCTTTATATTATCATCATTCTTTTTTATTGGTTCATATTAATTATACAGAATGCTGCATTTCACTGTGGCCTATTGATGCACACATATAACTTGATCAATTTCACTTTCAGGTACATCTTACTCTTTCCTCCTCCTTCCCCTCTGATTATCATCTTCTACCTTATTAACGTCCTTTCTACTTTTGTGAAGTCCCTCCCCCCTATTTCCCCACTGCTTTCCACATATGAGAGAAAACATATGGTACTTGTCTTTCTGAATGCGGCTGATTTCACCTAGTATGATGCTCTTCAGTTCTATACATTTTCCTACAAATGACATAATTTTGTTCTTTATGGCTGAATAAAACTCCATTGTGTGTGTATATTGCATTTTCTTTATCCATTTATCTATTGATAAAGAAAATGCAATATATACACATGTGAATAAACATGGGTAATGCATGTATCCTTAGAGTGTACTGATTTTAATTCTTTTGGATAAATAGCAAAGATGCTATAGCTAGGTCATATGGTAGTTTTATTCTCAGTTTTGTGAGAAACCTCCATACTGGTTTCTGTAGTGACTGTACCAATTTACTTTGCCACCAACAGTGTATAAGAGTTCCTTTACCCCAGCTTGCATTTTTGGCCCATATTTATTGTCATTTGTATTCTTGATTGTTGTCATCCTGTATGGAGTGAGATGGAATCAGTATGGTTTTTGAGAAATTCTTTGACTAAAGATGTTGAAAATTTTATCAGAAAATTCTTGGCCATTTTTTTTTTGGGGGGGGAGGTATCTGGGATTGAACTGAGGGGCACTTTCCCACTGAGCTGCTTCCCCAGCCCTATTTTGTATTTTATTTAGAGACAGGGTCTCACAGAGATGCTTAGCACCTTGCTTTTGCTGAGGCTGGCTTTGAACTAGCAATCCTCCTGTCTCAGCCTTCTGGTCTCTGTAACAGGCATGTGCCACCTTGCCTGGCTGTATTTTTTGAGAAGTCTGTTCAATCCATTTGATCATTTATTGGATGGATTGTGTGTGTGTCTGTTGGATTTTTTGGATTCTTTGTTCTGGATATTAATCCTCTGTTGGAAGACTAGTTGGCAAATATTTTCTCCCATTCAGTAATCTTTCTTCATGTGGATGTTTCTTTTGCCAAAGATTTTTAATTTGATGCTATTCCATTTATTGATTCTTGCTATCATTTCCTGAACTATAGACGTCTTATTCAAAAAGTTATTGGCTGTGCCTATATGTTTGTTTTCCCTTTATTCTTTCCTAGCAATTGCAAAGTTTTTGTTCTTATGCTTAGAGCTTGGATCCATATTGAGTTGACTTTTGCATAGGGTCTATTTACATTCTTCTAAACAGGGATGTTTCCCCAGCACCATTTGTTAAAATGGCCATTTTTATCCAACATACATTTTTGGCACCTTTATCAAGAATCAGATGACTGTAACTATGTGGATTTGTCTTCATCTGTTGTGTTGATCTACACGTCTGTTTATAAAAAGAGTACTATTGTGGTCAGTGTATGAGGTGTCTGTCCCCCCAAAACTCCTATATTGTGACAATGTTCAGGGGTAAAATGATTAGATTTTGAGAGCTGTAACCTAATAAAGTGGGTTAATCCATTGGATTGATAAATTGAATGGTGTAAGTGGGTGGTAACTGTAGGCAGGTAGGGTGTGGCTAGAAGAAATGCGTCACTAGGAGTGTGCCTTTTGGGTTTATACTTTCCTGGTGTCTACCATGAGGTGAGCAACTTTTCTCTCCTGTGCCTTGCTGCCGTGATATTCTTCACTTCAGGCCCAGAGTGATGAAGTAAGCCAGGCACGAACTAAACTTCTGAAACCATGAGCTCAAAAGAAACTTTATCTGCTCTCAGGTATTTTGAATACAGTGACCAAAACCTAACACAGATACTATGCGTGAGTGTGCTCGCTCTTGCGCTCGCCTTGGTATTGGTATTTTGATGGGGGTTGTTTCAACGCTCTTGATTATTTTTGGTAACGTGGCCACTTTAACAATATTATGTCTATGCATGATTGTGGGGGTAGTATTACATTCCTACCAGGATGTCATAAACAGATCTCTCTAGTATCCTTGTAACAAGTGACTTCTCTCGCCCCTTGCTGAAGAGTGATGCATGTACCAGTAGCATCAGCATCACTAGGAAGTGTTAGAAATGCAGATTCTCAGGCCCACTACAGATCTGCTGGATCAGAATCTACATTTTAATGTCATCTCTAGGTGATTCCATTTGAGTTTTATGGTCTGAAAAGTCCTTTCTGAGAACATTAGTGTTCAGTGAAGTGTGTAAAGAGGTTTTAAAAAAAAAAGTGATGGCTATACATAAGGTGGAAGGTAATGAGTCAAAGATACTTTAAGTTTTGGAAAACATGGTAGAAGTAACACTATTGAGTCTCAAATGGGACCACTTAAATACACATTTTATGAAATCCGATGCAAATGGAGTTTTCTTTAGTCATAAGAATATTACGTCAGTTGCAGGAAAATGGATGAAACTGTAAAGCATCATGTTAAACAAAATGAGCCAGACTCAGAAATGCAACTGTTGTGTTTTTTTCTCATGTGGAAGCTAGTGGGGGTTAAAGAAAGAATAAAAGGGCCATTATGAAAGCAGAAGGGAAACCAATAGGGCAAAAGAAGGGGATGGGGGAAGGGGAAAGCTAGGGGAGTTATTGGGGAGGGATATTAGTGAAATTAAATGTTATGTGCATGTACCAATATGCCACAATGAAACTTACCCTCAGATAAAGTATTTTTCCGACAATCTATGTGTCTCGTTTTTGCTATTAAATTTTCCAAGTTATTAAATGTTATTTAAAAAGTAACACTCAAGTAGTTTTATTGCATGAATTATGGTAAGAAGCTCAGTTTTGGAAGTTAATTATTTTAACTCTTAGCACAGATGGGGATTTATTAAACCTAAAATATCATATTTTCCAATGGCAGTAAAATAAGATGTATTAATTAATATGATTTTTGTCTTATAATGAGTAACTGATTTTCATGTTCTTAAATGTTTGAATGAGGAATTAAACATATGGAATGATAAGTAACAATTTAGTTTTGATTAGTATTGGCACTTTCTAAAGTTTTTTATTGGGGAGAAAAACTGAAAAATTTATTACCTTAACCATTTTTAAGTTTGGAGTTCAGTATTAAGAACATTCATGTTAGTGTGAATCAGACCTGCAGAAGTTTTTCATCTTGCAAAACTGCAACTCTACCTATGAGACTTTTTGGGTGGTATTAAGTCTCTAGATTTTATTTAAATCTATCTTATTAGGCTCCCTCTGACACCAAACTGGCTGGGCGAAGGAGGGTGCTACCTTGTTACTGCTGGGTTGGGGCAGAATTCCAGGTGCCAGTGGATTTGCTTTGATACCTGAGCTGGTGGAAGAGCTGCCCACTGTTGCTGGGCTAGAGGGAGAGTTGAGACTTTCCATTGTGCCTCCTCTGTTGGTAGCCTACCCTGGCTGGCATGGGGTTACTCATTCCTAGTGAAAGGCCAATGTGCAGGCTTCGTACTGTGCCTTTCCTGATACTGGCAGGGAGAGGGAAGGGAAGTGTGTTGTTTAGTGTGGTTAGAGATCTAGGCTTTTCATAAAGTCTTCATTGACACCACAGTGCGGGGAGAGGGACCTGGCTGTTGCAGAGTTGGGATGAAAGTCCCACATCTCTACTTGTTTTTTTCTGACACTGCTTTGGTCGGGCATAGTGTTGGGGTGACTTGTTATGGTCATGAGAGGATGGAAGTCATGGCATCCTACTTACCCTTTGCTGATGGAGCTGGGGTTTGGATTTTTCATGGTGTTGAACTTAAGTAAAATAACTGTTAACTAAATTTTCTCTCTTCCCTGTCTGCCCCTTTCTAGGTCCTTTGGTTTGAGAGAGCTGGTTTTCTTATGTACTTGTGTATGTGTATCTGTCAGTGTTTCCAAGGTCCTAGACTCTCTAGAACCCACTCTGGGATATGAGGCAAAAAGCTAACCCAAGGAACACAAGTCCCATGGCCCCTAGCTGTTCTGCTTCCTTCTCTTTACCTTTCAGTCATCTTGGGTTTGTTTTATGTTTATTATCCAGGAATTTTAGCTCCACTGAGTGGCTGGAATAGAAGTGCATCTTCTTTCTTCTAGTTTTTCAAATGTGCCTATAACAGCTCAATAATCAAAAAAACTCATTTAAAATGTAAGTT